ATGTCTTTATCTAGACCTCTATAAATGCCCTTTTCAAGGAGCTGATATTAAGGGCTCAAGTAGAAAGCAAATGTTTTGAGAATGATGATGGCAAAAAATGTACAAATGTGCTTGACACAATATATGGATGTATGGATTGTGATAAGAATTGTACAACTCCCCAATAAAATGATTAAAAAAAGAAAATAATAATAATCGATAATATATCCAGGGGTCATGAGGGTGGGAGGGGAAGAGGGATGGTGAAAAGAGAAGCTGATACCAAGGCCTCAAATAGAATGTAAATGTCTAGAATATAATGATGGCAACATATGTACAAATGTGTTTGATACCATTGATGTATGGAATGCTGTAAGAGCTGTAAGAGCCCCCAGTAAAATGATCTTTAAAGAAAGCAAATCGTTATTTTCACTAATCTCAAAGGGAAATTTAGCATTCCCTTCAGTTATGAAGAGAGGCAAGAGACCTCAGTCATTATTAACAGTACACTACTTGAGATCACAGATCGTTCTCTGTTATATTGAAAATGTGGCATACATCCTAAATTAGTGAGCAACTGCCCATTTCCCCAGGACTGAGGGGCTTTCTGGGATGTGGGGCTTCCAGGGTTGAGTCTGCGGAAGGCCGAGGCTAACCTGGATGGTTGTTCCCGCAAGGATACTCCCCACTACTTAACCCGTCACTTGGCACCATTTTAAAAATGCATTATTAAAGGAGCACCTGCATTGCTATTTCACAGTTTCAAAAAGTACTTTGGCAAATGTGTCTCTACATCGTTTGCTTCCTTTAGAATGTTTTTACTTTCTGTGATGCATTTAAAAGACTAACTATGAAAAGAGGTCCATAAACTCCACCCTCTAAACAAGGGTCCACTTAGACAAAAATGCCTGCCAGCAAGAAGAGACTGGGCATTCCCTGATTGTGCGGGAAACATACAAGATGCTGAACTTGGATGCTATGAGGCCCTGCGATCTAAAAACGACAATGAAAAATGAATCAAAAGAACAACAATCAATTCCATGGTAGAAGAGGACACATCAGTAGAAGAAGCATGTATCTCCAATGGACACAACTAAGCTATTAGTGGTCGGGTCATTTTTCCACTGCTCGGGGTATTCCTGCACACAGTAACCAGGGAAGCTCCCTCGTGTCTCACCGCCCAGCGACATGTGCGTGTTGTTACTTACACTGCTGAGAGTGGACTCAATCTTGAGAGTTGGCAATTGCTAGGGCTACGGGGTTGCTATGACTACAAATGCTTCCCATACGGACCCTAACTTGGCCCACCCAAACCAAACTGCTGCCATCAATTTGATTCCAACTCCTGGGAACCCTAGAGTAAAGAATACAACTCCCCCATAGGGCTTCCAAGAATGGTGATCTTCCCCAAAGCAGACTGCCACGGCTTTCTCCAGGGGAGGGACCGGTGGACTTGAACTGACACCTTTTCAGCTCTCACCCTATGAGACAGCAGAGCTTGAGATGTTTCACAGGATACCAGAAATTTGAAATCAAAATAAATATATACATCACAAATGTAAAGGCATGCTTTATATATATAAAATCTTAAACTCTTACCTGATACCATTGAGTTTCTGACAGGCAGCAACTCCCATCATCTTGCCTGACGGCCACCGTAGACCGAGGCTCCATGACCCTCCCACAAGGTGGTAAGAGTTCACTTTTCTTCTGAACAGTGTGAGTCCAAGCATCCAGCCCTATGTGGCCAGACGGCAGCGTTCTCACAATTGCTCTTGTCCCAGTATACACAGATTTCTTAACTTCCTTGTCATTTTTACAAAATCTTCGGACCAACAGAGTGGATCGCTCCTTCTTGCCTTTTAAAAAATCCTCTTCTACATCTTCACAATTATCAGGGAAATCCTCAAAATGGCTCAGAAAGGTCTTGGCAGGCAGTCTGTCTGTAGGATCTTCCTGGCAAAAGCTATCACTTGAACATACCGTGTTGCCTTTCCGGCAAGAATTGTCAAAGCACAAGTACTGATCATGCAAAGTGTCACAGTGATCACACTGCAGATGGCCATTCTGATTATCACAGTGCTTTGCCAATTCCATCAAGCTACAAGTATATGCCATGTAACTTTCCTTTTGCTCCCCTCTAACACCAGGCAGCGGTACACAATTGCCACAATCATCCAGAATTAAGTTGTCTGTGAGTGTACAGAAAGTGTCTGACATTCTGTCCACTTCATAATGAAAATGAATCACCGCCATGTTGTCTTGTGCTCTGGTGGTCTCCATGATGGCTGGCTGGTTTCCTAAAGGGTCCATGCCCATGGGAGGTCTGTCTATTTCCAGTTGAATTCCAGGGAACACCTTTCTTTCCAGTGGGGAAAGAATTCCAGTTTCTAAACACAGGCCTTCCTCTGCAACAGAGTTGCACTTTCCACAAACCTGGCTCTGAGGAAGGCTGTGCTGATGGGTTTTCAATATGTTGTTGCAGTTAATGTTAAGGTTTTTCACAGAATCTGGCGTGCCTTTCTCCCAACACTTCTCATTACTGTTCTCATCACTCATTGTTTCCTCCCTTGCTCTTGAAAGAATCTGGGGCAAGGGGCTTCCAGAAGATTCCTTCTTGAGTTTGTTCAGGCATGGGATGGTATGAGAAAGCTGTCCGGTCGGACTGATGGTAGGTGCTTGCACAGCACCGATGTCTGACACCTTTACACTGTGTTCGTCTGCAGCTGGCTGGGCAGATACCGCTTTCCTCTGCCTCACAGGCCTGAGAACAGCGGCTGTCAGTTCTTCGGAAGTCATCGTGACCAACACAAAGGTTTTAGCTCTTGCTCTGGTTCGTCTCCGTGGCAATCATAATAAGATCTTCAGGAAATGAATGGGATTATTCCAGAGTAGGGTTTCTGATGGGAAGATTCGTTTCTTTCTCCTATTTGAAGCAGATTATTTTGAAGAATTTTCATCAAGATGACCTCCCGTAACGCTGATCCTTCATCCACGCGCAATGATTTTAAGTTCGTTTCCACATGTCCTGTAAGAAAACGGAGAAGGTCAAGCACTATGGCACTCAAAGGATTTGGTAAAATACATTCATGAATCTAAGCCAATGCAAAATACCAACTGATTTAAGAGAGCAGTTAAACAATCAGGAATTAGATTTAATGTTTAGCTTTTTTTTTTTTAGTTCACCATTTCTGCCTCTAGACAGGGGCCAGATTTACACTCCCATCTTACATGATTTCAAAATGCAGAAAGGAAATGGAAAAAGAGAGAGAAAGCAGTGTTTTTAGGCAGCACGGGACAGTGACCCACGAAAGAAGGGGGGCAAAACGTGAACTGAACTCCGATAATGACCCTGGCTCACTGCCTAGAGTTTTCAGAACTCAGAAAGGAGGAACCCAGGTAGTAGCCAGGACTCTCCTTATTTTGAACAGTAAAAGTGGAAAATTCAGGGAGATTAGGGGAAAAGACACTTCGAGTAGAGACGAACAGAGGTATGGATGACAGCAGACAGAAACAGCGCACACCAGAAGAGAGTGGAGCAGATACTGAAAGTTCTGAAAGAAAAAAAAAAAACATTGCCTGCTTAGAATGACACACCCAGCAAAACTACCATTTCAAACTTAAATTGTTGTTAAAGTTACACAAAAGCTAAAATAATTCAGCACTAGCTATTTAGTACTTGCCGGGTAACTGAAAATTAGGCAGTTCAAACCCATCAGCTACACCACGGGAGAAAGAGGTGGCAGACTGTTTCTGTAAAAATTACAACCCTGGAAACAACCTGGGGCAGTTCGACTCTGTAGTAGGGTCCCTATGCATCAGAATTAACTTGGCAGCAGTGGATATTTTTGTCTGCTTTGTTCTGGTTTTGTTTCTGATAAGAGGGAAATGGTCCATAGAGAAATCTGTATCTATACAAAGGAATGAAGAACAATGGGAATCTTAAATATGTAAGTAAATATAATTTTGTTCAAAAACACTTTGCAAAACAATTGACAATGTAATGCAAAAAAAAGAATAATGTACTATGGGAGCTTCTAACAAATGTAGAAATGAAATGTATGACAATGCTAGAACAGAGATTAAAAGAGGGGATATGTAAGTATACTGTTGTAAAGTAGTTTTCTACATAAACTGGAGTAACATGACTTGAAGGTAGACTGTGATACAATAAAGAAAGATGTAAACGACTCACCCGAAAGCAAACACGTAAAAAAAAGATACATGTAATAAGATCAAAACAGTCATAAAAGATATTCAATTAATCAAAAAGAAGGCAGAAAACATGAACCAAGAATAAATGTGACAAGTAAAAAAAGCAAAGAATAGATTTGAACAATTTTTAAAAGTAGCTTTATTTATTTATTTCCACAAAAGTTAAATGTGTTTCTTTACTGCTGATGCTTAGTTTGAATATGAAACAATTTCTTTAAATCAGTAGGTATATTTGATGCATAAAAGCCATGGTTTAAAAAATAATTTAGCCTCTCCTTATTCTCCTCCCTGGAGCCCTGGTGATGTAGGAGTTACAGGAAGCCACCAGCGGCTCCTTGAGAGAAAGACAAGGCTTCCATAGAGTTACAATCTCGAAAACCTACAGGGGCAGTTGGACCCTGCTCTGTAGGACCGCTCTGTGTGGGAATGGACGTGGTGTCAGTGAGTTTGAGGTGTATGCGTCAGACACATCACAAAACCACTGCTCTATGCTGAGTAGTGTACTATAGACCAGCTAACTGGTGAGCAAGTGTCAGTCTAATTTGGCTGCAATGATTACAAAGGAATTACAGGCTCTGTGCGACCGACCAAAGGATCCCTGGTGGTATAGCAGGCTATGCACTGAGCTGTTAACCACAAGGTCGGAAGTGCAAATCTATCAGCTGGACCTTGTGAGAAAGATGAGGCTGTTTACTTTCGTACACATTTAAAGTCTCAGAAGCCCAAATGTCTAAGGCATGTGTCAGAGATCAACCAAGTCTTTAAAAAGACAGGAAAGAAAGAAAAGATCGAAGTGGATGTCAGAAGAGACACTGAAACTTGCGCTTAATCACAGAGCAGCTAAGGGAAATAAAAGAAATGATGAAGTCGAATAACTGAACAGAAAGGACAGTTCAAGAAGACAAAGTAAACTATGACACTGAAATGTGCAATGACCTAGAAAACCAAAAGAAAAAAGAAAACACGCTCAGCATATCTTATTAAACGGAAAGAACTCAAGAAAAAGTTCAAACCTCGAGTTGCAATCTTGAAAGAGTCTATGGGCGAATGTTGAACGATGCAGAAATCGTCAAAAGAAAATCGAAAGAATACGGAGTCATTGTTTCAAAAAGATCTAGTCAACATTCCACCATTTCAGGAGGTAGCATACGAGCAAGAAGCAATGGTACTGAAAGAAGAAGTCCAAGCTGCAGTGAAAAAAATTGGCCCAAAACAAGGCTCCAGGAGTTGATGGAATACCAATGGAAATGTTTCAACAAGCTTATGAAGCACTGGACCCACTTGCTCTTCCATGCCAGGAAATTTGAAAGACAGATACTTGGCCAATTGACTGGAAGAGATTCATAGTTATACCCTTTCCAAAGAAAAGTGACTCAACAGAATGCTCAAATCATACAATAAGGTTACTATCGCACACACATTTTGATGAAGCTCATTCAACAATAGTTAATACATTGACAGATTGCTGTCAGAGGTTCAGGATGGGTTTAGAAGAGAATGTGGAACAAGAGGTATCATTGCTGATATCAGATGGACCTTGGCTGAAAGCAGGGAATACCACAAAGATGTTTGTTTTGCATGCCTATGTCAAGGCAGTCAACTCTGGATCATAGTAAACAATGGAAGCTTTGAGAAAACGGAAGTCCAGAACATCTCATTGTGTTCATTCAGAATCGGTGTATGGAGCAACAGGTAGCTGAGCAAATGAAACAAGGGAAAACTTCCAGGATTACAACCAAGAAAGGTGTGTCTTGGGGTTATATCCTCTCAGCACCCTGGTGCAGTCTGTGTGCTAAGCAAATAATCAGAGAAGCTAGGCTATATGAAGAATGTAGAATAAGGATTGAAGGAAGGCTTATTAACAACCTTCTATATGCAGATGACTCAACTGTGCTTGCGGAAAGTGAGGAGGACTTAAAGCATTGGCTGACAAAGATCAAGGATTGCAGCCTTCAGTATGGATTATAACTCACTGTAAAGACCAAATCTACAATCAGTGTTCATGGAAGTAGCAGTCAAGAGATCAGGTGATACATTGCTTTGAATAAATCTGCTGCACAAGACCTCTTTAAAGTGTTGAAAAGCAAGGATGTTATTTTGAGGGCTAAGGGGCCCTGACCCAATCCCTGGCATTTCCAATTGCTTCCTAAGCATGTGAAAGTTGGACATTGAATAAGGAAGACCAAAGAAGCATCAATGGGTTTCAATGACAGTGCTGGCAAAGAACATTGAAAGTACCATGGACTGTCGAAAAGAACCAACAGATCAGGTTTGTCAAAGTACAGTCAGAATGCTCCTTAGGGGCAAGGATGTGAGCCTTCATCTCTGTACTTTGCACATGTTGTCAGGGGAGACCAGTCCCTGGAGAAGGACACCGTGCTTGGCAGAGAAAAGGAAGACGGCCTCACCAAGGTGCATGGACACACTGACTGCAACAATGGGCTCAACAGAAGAAGACGTGAGGCTGGTGCAGGGCAGGTGGCATCTCCTTCTGGTTTACAAAGGGCCGCTCCGAGGCAGAGCTGACTCAACGGCGCCTAACAACAAGCTAAGTGAAATCATACGTGCCACGAAAAATCATTAAATGAGAAAATGCACATATTTGGGCTTTTCTGATTAGAGTTGTTAGGAAATGGTTAAGTTTAAACAACAAGAACAACAAAACTAATCTACCAAATAAATTATCTGATATTTTACTAGTCAAATGTTTTATTAGGAACCTGTACTATTCTATAAAGTTCAGATAGCAAGAGGACCATCGACCCCGGGATGAATAATGCCCTAATGAGGAGGGGTTTGAGTTGGGACTTTAAAAGGTGCAGTGTTGACAAAAAGGAAAATATACTCCAGGTAGAGTGAACAGTAGGGTAAAGAAAGAAGAAAACGCAATGTATCACTATAAATTGATATGAAGTTTAGAAGAGAACATTTCATCCAGAGAAAGTGAAAGTTGCTCAGGAATTACATCATCCTGGAAAAGAAAGAAGGGACTTATCAAAGCCTGTAACAGAATTTTGTAGTCCTATTTGCTTCTTTAAACTTAACTTCTACACCGTCCCTTTGAGTATTTGCGATCATAGGCAATGAATGATCTGTTCATGCGTTCTCTTCCCTTAGACAACTCACTTTGCCTTACTATGGTCCAGTTGCTTCATCTGTAAAATGGGGGCAATAACAGTTGGTCATGTAATGCTCTCAACAATTGTGAAGCAGTAATGTCTCAAAAAAGAGTAACTTTTATTCCTACAGCTCTAACGACATTCCATATTACTTCCTGAACAAGAACCACTTCTGTTACTTGTCAACAAGCTCCATGCTCTGTAATAATAAAGGCTGTTTCTCACTTGTTGCTTTGGATAGGGTAGTATTTGTATAATAGTATTCCTTCTCCCATCTAAGGCATTCAGCTAAATGGTTTTTAGAGCCCTACATATTTACTAGGAGTCCTGGTGGCACTGCTGAGTAAGTGTTGGACCACTACCCTCACAGTAGGAAGTTCAAGCCCACCAGCCACTCCGAGAGAGAAAGATGAAGCTGTCGGCTCTCGAAACGATGGACAGGCTCAGCAGCCCTACGTAGGGTTGTTCTGAATCAGGATCACCTCACTGGCAGTGGGTTTGTTTGTTTTTAAATGTTTTTAATATTTCCTGAGGACTTTGCATATATGCAAGTCATCGCATGAGTTCACAAGAGCAGAAAGGCAAAATCCCTGGCCACTCATAATCTCTAAAAACCACTAATTATTAGAGAGCCAATCCATAAAGAAAAAAAAATTGGGAAACCGTAACATCATATGAACTAATGTAATACCGG